GATATCTGCATTTGCCAACTAAGACCCTTTCCCACATCTACATTCCCTTATAAAAACTCCAATCTCTCAACCTGGTGGCATGATTTTTCTCTTGGAAACTCATGCAGTTTCTCTTGACAGTGTACTCAAGAGATCTAAATAAACTCCTGTCTTTTGTACATTCCTTGTCAATTGATAAATTTTTTATCACCTGCATCACCAGTCTGCTATATGTCATCTGGTATAGCAAAACTGTAATATAAAAATGTTCAGCCAGGCATGGTGGCACACACCTGGCACTCTAGGAGACTGAAGCAGGAAGATCCCAAGTTCTAGCCTAGCCTGGGAAATTTAGCAAGATCCCGTCTCAAAAATAAAAAATAAAAGGCTACAGATATAATTTAGTGCAAAAGCCTGTGTTCAATCCCCAGTCCCCCCACACACACAGTTCAAACAACCCAAAAGGCAGAAAAATAAAAACAGAAGAATAAAAGAAAAAGCAGCAAATAATGAGTATCAACAATTATATTAAATTTACATGGACTAAATATACCAACTAAAAGACTGAAATTTTCAAAATAGATCAGAAAAATATTACCCACCTATGGATTGCTATGGATTGTTATGGATTGAATTGGATGCCCTATTCAGTTTATATATTGAGGCCCCAATGCCCATTCTGACTGCATTTGGAGATGGGCCTTTATGGGGGTAATTAATATAACAACAGAGCCCTAATCCAACAGAACTAGTATCCATATGAGGAATGGACACCAGAACTCTAAGAGGAATGGACAGCAGCAGTCTCTTTCCACGTGTGAGCAGAGGAAAAACCATGAGGTGAAATAGCAAGAAGTTGGCTAACTTAGAAAAAAAAATTTTTAAAGAGATTGATGGCATGAAAATAGAAGGGATGTTATTAAAGAAGAGGAAGGGGATGGGGAAGAAAAGAGAAGAGGGGAAGAGGGGGTAGGAATGATTAAAGTATGTTATATGCACGTATGACCATGCTAAATGAAACCCATTAGTTTGTACAACTAATACACCTTTTTTTAAAATTGGAGCATGGTGATACACACCTGTAATCCCAGTACTCAGGAGTCTGAGGTAGAAGGATCTCCTCAAATTCAAAGCCAGTCTTAACTACAAAGCGAGGCCCTGACTCAAAAAAACAAACAACAAATCATCAGTTTGCCAGGTATGGTGACTCACACCTGTAATCCCAGCACTCAGGAGGTTGAGGGCAGGAGGATCACTTCAAGTTTGAGGCCATCCTGGGCTACATAGTGAGTTCTAGGCCAGCCTGAATTACATAGTGAGACCCTGTCTCAAAAAAAAATTCACAATAAAAATAAAATGTTGACCATCTCCAAGCCAGAAAGAGTGCCCTCACCAGAGATCAAATTAGCCAGCATCTTGATCTGGGACTTCCCAGACTCCAGAACTGTGAGAAAACAAATTCTACAGTACTTTGTTATGGCAACCCCCAGAAATCATTATCTAAACGAAATATATCCAATGTAATTACAGAAGTAGAATAAGAAGTAAGATGGAACCAGGTACACTACTGAAATACCAAAGGAAAACTGGAATGGCCATATTCCTGATTGCCAAAGTAGACTTTGGTGGGATGGGGGGGTCATCCAAGAAAATGAGTGATACTATAAGGACAAAATGGTCAACTTAACAAAAAGACATAATATAACTAACAGGGTATATACCTAAATATAAAGCTTCAAAATACATGAAGCAAAGCCAAGCACAGTGATGCATGCCCGAAATCCCAGCTATTCAAGAAGCTGAGGCAGGAGGACTGCCAGTTCAACTTAGCAACTTGACCCTGCCTCAAAATAAAAAGGGTTGGGTGTATAGCTCAGTCATAGATTATCCCTGTTAATCCTCAGTACCATAAAAGAATATAAATCTGAAGCAAAACTGAAGCACTTGACAGGAGAAATAGACAAATCTGCATTAAAATTGGACACTTCAATATTCTTTTCTCAGGAACTGGCAGAACCAGTAGAGAGAAAATCAACATGAATACAAAACTAAATAATGTCATCAACCATCTGTATGCAAATGACATATATAGAACATTCCACTAAAAAACAAGAGAATACACACTTTTTTCAAGTGTAAATGTAATATTTATCAAGATAGACCATGTTGTGATTCAGAAAACAAGCTTTAACAAATTTAAAATAATTGAAATCATTCTTGGTATGTTCCCAGACTATAAAGGAATTGTTTTAGAAACCAGTAACAAAATATAACAGATAAATTGCTAGATATTTGGGGAAAAATCATTCTTATAAATAACATACAGGTCAAGAGAAAGTCAAAGAAAACTAGAAAATACTCTGAACTGAATAAAAATGAAAATACAATATACAAAAATTTACAGGATTGCTAAAGCAGTAAAGGAAATCTTACAGCATTAAATATATACATTGAAAAAAAGTTTTAAATCAATAACCTAAACTTCCTTTAAAAAAACTAGAAAAACAGCAAAATAAACCCAAAACAAAGACCACAATAAAGAAAATATATAATGAAATTTAAAATAAAAAACAGAGAAAATTTGATTACTTGAAAACAAAAGTTGATTACTTGAAGACAAGATTTATAACCCCCTAGCAAGTTGATAAAGTGAAAAAAGAGAAAATAGCAATTACCAATATCAGAAATTGAAATATAGACATTCAAAGGATAGCAAGGGATTGCTTTAAACAACTCCACGTACTTAGGTGAAGATTTTTCAATAATCACAAACAAATTCACCTAAAAGAAAGAACATGAATACTCCTAGAATAAAGAAGTTAAATTTTTATACAGAAACATCCTTCAAAAAGAAAACTGCAAGCACAGTTTCATCAGCCTGTTAATTAACTTAATCCCACCCCATCCCCTTCCTCTTCTTAATCCCACTGGTGGATTAAGCACAATGTATACATATGTAAAAGCATTACTTTATATCCCATAAAGATAGAAATTATAATTTGTGAATATTCGATTAAAAATATTCAGCCAACTAATTCTCAACAAAGGTGCCAAAACATACACTGGAGGAAGGGCAGCCTCTATGAACAAATAGTGCTGGGAAGCTGGGCGTGGTGGTCCGCGCCTGTAATCTCAGACTCAGGAGGCTGAGGCAGGAGGATCACCGAAAGTTCAAGGCTAGCCTGAGCTACATAGTGAGTTTAAATCCAGTCTGAACTAAATAGTGAGACCTTGTCTGAAAGAAAAAGGGAATGGTGCTGGGAAAACTGGATATCCACATGTAGAAGGTGGAAAATAGAGCCCTGTACAAAAATCAATTCAAAGTGCATCAAAAACCGTAATGTAATACCTGAAAATTTTAAACTACTAGAAGAAACCATAGGAGAAGCATTTTGAGATACTGGCAAAGGCAAATATTTCTTAGATAGGACTCCAATAGCTCAGAAAACAAAAGCAAGAACAGACAAAAAGGACTACATTAAATTTTTTTTGTTTTGTTTTGTTTTGTTTTGTTTTTTGAGATAGGGTCTCACCATGTAGTTTAGACTGACCTGGAACTCAGAATGTAGCCCAGGCTGGTCTCAAACTCACAGCAATCCCTGCCTCACATATAGGGTCTCACCATGTAGTTTAGACTGACCTGGAACTCAGAATGTAGCCCAGGCTGGTCTCAAACTCACAGCAATCCTCCTGCCTCAGCCTCCCAAGTGCTGGGATTACAGGCATGCGCCACCACACCCAGCTCCCTACATTAAATTTTTAAATTTCTGCAAAGCAAAGGAAACCATCAGCAGAGTGAAGAGACGACCTATAGAACAGGAAGAAATCTTTGCTAGCTATTCATCTGAGAGAGGATTAATATTCAGAATACATATGGACATCAAAAAAACAAGTAATCTAATCAAAAATTGGGCAAATTATCTGAACAGACATTCTCAAAAGAAGTTTAGCCATCAGGGAAATGCAAATCAAAACTACACTGATATCGTATTTATCACCAAGCTGGGGTAAAGGCAATTCACATTAAGATTCAGCAAAGAAATTCCCTAAAATGCAATCTCAGGAAACCTTGGCTTCTTGAGGCTTGTTATGCTCTCTCCTGATGAGTAAGGTGAGCCAAGGCAGTTACATTCCCTGTTGGCTGCCAGAAAGCTCAAAGAGCAACCAGCAGTGCAGCATTAATAAAGATGTTCCCTGACTAACAATGATTTTACTTAAGATTTACTCTCATGATGCTGGGCAGCAGCAGTGAGCCACAGCTTTCAGTGAGCTACGTGATCGTGAGGGGAAACAACCAAGGCTCACCAGTGTACTATGTTGCCAAGCTGTGATGTTCAGCAGGTTAAGTGTATTACATGCATTTTCCACTTATGATGAGTTTATCAAGATGTAATCCCATCATAAATCAAGGAGCATCTGTATCTGTGTACCCTTAGGTCCTGCGCATGTGTAATTCTAACTTAGCCTTGACATCAACAGTGATCTGATTAGGCACAAAATGGTTTTTATCATGTCATGTCTCCCTTGAGGCCACACTCACTGATCTTCATCATCCTCATACCCATCCTAGCCTCCTGGCAACTACTAAGTTGTTCTGTATTTCAGGAATTTTGTTACTTCAGGAATATGATTTAAATGGAATTGTAGTGTGTGATTTTGGGGACTGGATCTTTTTTCCACTCGGCACAATTTCCTAGAAATTCATTCAAGGTGTGTATTCAGTAGTTCTCTGCTTTTTATTGCTGGATCCATGGTATGGGTATTCCATAGCTTTTTTTAATCCATTCACCCATTGAAACACATCCGAGCCATTTTCAGTTTGGGGCATTTATGAATAAAGCTATTTAAGCACCCATACACAATTGTTTTATATGAACATATTTTCACTTCTCTAGAGTAAATGAAGGACTGCTGGGTCATATGGTAACTGTTTCTGATCCTAGTCCTTATTTACAAATAATTTCCTACATAGTTCATCACATCTATGGTAAAATAGAGAAAGGTACAAATAGCATACGTACCTGGAGTTCGGCCATTGCCTGATTTTCTTGGGAAAAGGCAAAGATGTGTGAAAGCTGAGCTAGAACAAGCAGAGAAGAGGAGAGCTTACAAGGAGACCCCATGAGGCTTCCAGTGTCCAGAATAATCTGCCTAGAAATCCCCTCACACAAGCTAGCTATGAGGCCACTCCATGGAAGTTTGGGCAACCATCTGGTTTTAATAACCTATGTATTTTATACTTTTGTCCTGGGAACAATGAACACTAAGAGATTTTTACATATATATTAAATTGTACATTGATGCAGAAATTGTATTCCTCTATATTTTCCTTAATGGAGTGATCATAATATATAATTTCTTTGTAAGTACCTTCATCTCAGCATTGTTTTTTTTTTCAGTACCAGGTATCAAACTCAGGACCTTGCAATCTCAGCATTGATTTTAACAATGCCAAACTTAAACGATACTTTATGACCCATAATAAGGGAAAAAGTAAATGCCAGGGATGAAATGCTATTTAGCTCTTCAAAATGTCATATGGCATGAGCCAAATTAAACCTCTACTCCTTTAAAAATGTTATGTGGAATTGCATATTTTTTATCTATGTACTTTGTGGTATAT